TCACCGTGAGGCCCAGATGGCCTCGCTTGTCCTCCTGTCTTGCCTCTTCCACACTCACATTAACTTCTGCATCCGACTACAGCCCCGATTCTCCCTTGGGCTCCAGCCCCAAACGCCACGCATGCCTCCCTCTGGAAGGCCCTGCACATCCCTCACTCACTGGGCCCGATGTGATGCTGGTGTCTTCCCCCAAACTGTGCTGCCCCTCCTTGATCTGTCTCAGGGAGACCCACCTGCTGTCCTCAGCATCCACGAGAGCCTTGAGTCTGATCCTGGGTCCTTCTCCCACTCTCACCACAGCCTGCTGGCCACTACCAGCCTTCTATGCAGGCTCCTAAATTTCTTTCCAACCAGTTCTCTTCTCCCCCTGGCCTGCTTCATTCCCATCTTCTCCTGTCTAGGGCTCTGCATGACTCCCCCCACCATCCAGCCTCCAGCCTCCCCTCTTCAATCCACCTCCTACACTTAGGCTCATCACGCACAGCAGTCTTTTTCTCGACCATCAGACCCAACTATCTAGCAGCCTGTAAAAGCTCCCTGTGATGCTCCAGCTTGCACTGTTTCCCTCCAAACCTACATCTCCAACCACACTGCATTTTCAGTGAGAGCTCAATGCTCATCCAGGTCCCACAGGTCAATACATATTCCACCTGGACATTGGCTACCTCTCTCCCTTCATGTCCTTCTAGCTCATCAGTAACTCCAAGCAGTGACACATCTTTGCCTAGAACCTTTACACAAATATGCCTTGGCCCAGGAGAGCAGAGGCCAGGACCAGGAAAAGACAGGTAAGAAACAATGACCACCCTTCAGGGCAGGGGCTGCTATGTTAATGAGAGCAGCTATCACTCACTGAATCATTTCCATAACCCAGGGTTGGGAGCTGCTGAAGCTGGAAATTGGTCAAATGTGTGAGAGCAGGACTAGGCTTCAGTGCCTAAAGCAGTCCGAAGAATTAATCCTGCCGGGTTAATGTCAGCTGTTAGTCACGGGGCAACCTTGAGTCATGTGATACTAACTTTGCAAAGGTATAAATAAACACCCCTTCTGTTGTTCTGGGGTCATCTGCCAAGCAGGCAACGGGCCACCACCTGACCCGGCTCGTCTTATCTTTTTCTCATTCCTGCACCATTTCACTGAGAGACCACCTGAGTTCTACACCCCAGGCTCTTAATGTGCCCCCAGTAGTTCAAACTGCAGGCCCCAACCCAGAAGTGGTCATGAAATCAATTTAAAGAGGCATCATCAGAATTTTGTTTAAAGAGGGCTGGAGAGACAGCTCAGTACAATAAGTGCTTCCCTGGCAAGCACAAGGGCCTGAGTTCAATCCCTGGTTCCGCGGGGGGGAAAAAAAAATTGTTTAAATCAAAACAAGTAGAACAGAATAAAACACATCAGAGTGTATCACACATGGAGGCTACACATACACACAAACCAGAGATGCAGCAAAAGAAAAACAGACACTCACATGAGTAACACAAATCTCCCTGCATCAGTGGAACTAGTCTAAAGAGCTAGATATGGTGGCAAATACCTATATTCCCAGCACACTGGGATGATGAGACAGGAGGATTCCAAGTTTGAGCCCAGCCCAGGCAACTTAGCAAGACTTTGTTTCAAAAGACAAAGAGAAGGCTGGGGATGTAGCTTGTTGCAAAAGCCATGGTTCAAATCCCAGTACCAGAAAAACAAACAAATGACCCAACCTCTGAAGAGCACCATTTTACCATCCTGCCTCATTTGTTGTTATTTTAGTGCATGGCAGACCCAGCTCCTGGCACACGGTAGGAATCAGTGTTGGGTGATTAGAGGAATAATGAGAGGTCCCCAGCCAGCCGGCCACGCACCTGTGGTTGAGCCCACGATGGCCGTGTTCTGATCCACAGCCTCCAGAAACTGCCCAATGACCAGGGGGATGCTCTGAATTCGCTTCACCTCCTCTTGGGCATGGAGGAATTCCTTCTTCAGGTTCTTTTGCTCATCCTTGATGTACTCCTCTTGTACCTCAAGGAACTCCAACTCTTGCTGCAGCTTCTGTGAGCAAAGAGTGAGGGAAGGGATGGCTCCAGGCCTTGCTGAGCCAGGGTGGGAAGGATAAGATGCTGGGCCTTGTGTGGGGTCTGGATTGGGGTTGAACGTACCTTGTAGCGGCTATACAGGTCTTCCAGATCCTCAGGTTCTGGCCCCAGGAAGGACAGGCCAGTCTGGGGCCGGGACACAGACAGTGCTGGGATCTCATCCTAGACCAACAGGGAAAACTCAAGTTGGAAAAGCACCCCTTCCTGGAAGCACTGAGGGACCCCCTCCCCACATCACCACAGTCACTCAGCCTCCTCAGGCTCCTGGCATCATTCAGTTCCTCTAAATCCTGGGAACTTCTCCACCTCCTAAATAAGTTTCTAATGTCATGCAGCCCCCCAACACAAGCCCTTTATGTCAACTTGTTCCCCAAACAGATTTTCTGCTATCAAATGCTATTCATCCCCAGCAACACCCAACCACCACCTGGGATTCACCTTTACATCTCTGATACTCCTTACCAGAACTCAACAACCCCAGACCTCCTCCACAGGTTTCTAAAATCACATGACTCACTTCCTATTAAGGTCGCTACACCTTCAGAGCCCTAGCTTTCACAACTGTTTGCCCAAACGATCCCTCACGTCACAGACTCCCAATGGGTCCAGTATCACTCAGCCAAACTGTAACTCTCCTCCCGCAAGCCACTGCCGAAGATCCACCAGTCCCCTAGCCGCTCAGCCCCTCCACGCAGCTGGCTCTCACACACCATTCACCATCCTACCCAATCTCAAAGGGCCAATGATGTCGCTAAGCACGCGCAGCCTGACATCCAAACCTATCAGTTCCAGGCAGCTTATAATGCCACTCACTTTCCCAGCTCCGCCTTTCGAGTCTCAACTCTCAGTTCTAACACCACTCGTTCACCCAAACAGGCCTCTACCGGGGCTTCCAAAATCACCACAAGCCGGGCTGGGACCCTCCAAGTCATTCGGACCCCCCACTTTGGCCTGGCTTCACCCTCTTCCCAATCCCGGCTCGTACTAAAAAGCTCAGTCCCCACAGCACCTGAGACTTCTCCACCAGGATACCTATCTCCTCCATAGTGACCAAGCCGGTCCCAGTGTGGCTCGGCTTGATGCAGTCACCACTTCCGCTGACGACAACGGAAGTGCCTTTGCCAAAGGCATTCTGGGAAATGTAGTTTCAGGCATCGCAGAGCGTGGATTGGATGTGCAGGAACAGTAAATGATTGGGAGAGAAGTCTATCCTAAACTGGGTCACTAGAATCCCTCGAGAGCGCGGGAGCCGGGCTCAGAGCCTTGCGTTTGCGCAATAGCGCTTGCGCGCTGCTTTTGCGAACTGTTGGCGCGCGCGGGCTTTCTCTCCAGCAGGTGGCGAGGTTGCTGGGAGGAAATCGTGTCATCTGTCCGGGTGACCAGTGCCTAAGTGCTCTTTGCTTTTCGTTTTTTTTTTTTTTTTTTTTCTTTTTCAGTACTGGGGATTGAGCCCAAAGTCTTCGCACAGGGCTACAGCCCCCAGCTCCTAAATATCTGTCTTGTCTGTCCGTCTGTCCGTCCGTCCATCCGTCCATCCATCCATCTATCTATTTAAAAATTTGAAATAGGATCCCATTAAGTCAGGTCTTTGCCTTAGCTGGGTTTAACCTTGTAATCGTCCTGTCTCAGCAGCACAGAGTGCTGAAAATTACAAGCCTGGACTACAAAGCCGACCTAATGGATTTTCTAAAGGACAGAAAATGGAAGACAGACTGTACCATTTAATGGCTGAGCTGGTGATGTCTTGGGCTGGGTTCCACGAAAGGATTTTTAAGGGGATCTCTACGTGAGAGGGTCCTCCCAGGACTCTGCCCCTGGAAGGTGACACTTTGTAATCGGGCTTCATCCTGGGAGTGAGGATCCCAGAGCCCACAGTACCTTGAGGAGCAAATCAAGTAGAATCATGGCCAATGAAAATGAAGCAGCAGATCCAACAGTTGGGTCAAGCAGGAGGCTCTTAGCCCTTTTCTATGTCTAGTACTTAAGCTTTACAGGTATCATGTCATTGAATCGTGTGTGTGTGTGTGTGTGTGTGTGTGTGTGTGTGTGTAGCTTGGGATGGAACTCAGGAATTCGGGTATGCTAGGCATATGCTCTACCACTGAACTACACACTCAGCCCAAGTCTTAGCACTTATGTGTTCTTTTATGGAGAAAAAAACAACGATGAAGCTATGTAGCACAATCACAAAGGGCCAAAGTGGCAACAGCATTGGGACCCAGATCTCTCTGTCTCCAAAACCTGTGCTTCTAGTATCAAGGACACACGTACACCCTTTGCACCAAGAGTGTGAAGTGAAATTTATTGAACGACAAAAATCATTACTATACAGCTCAAATACTTTACACAATTTCAACACGTTCATATAACAAGTATGTAGATCATGCAACCAAGCAGTAGCAGCCCTCCAAAAGCCCCACATGCTCCTTTCCTCTGTTTCCTGTTAAAAGTATCATTTGTGAATCGAATGGGTTACTTCTGTGTGTCTTGAACTCACATCCTAGGTCGGTACAGTGTTACTGTGTGGTTGGCTTTCTTTTTCTTAACATGTTTGTAGATGGACGTGGTGGTGCCTACAGTCCCAGCACTTTGGGAGGCTGATTACAAATTTAGCAACTTAGCAAGTTAGTCTTTTTTTTTTTTTTTGAGCCAATTAAAAAAACTTTATTTGTGCTTCAAACTTTAAAACCAAGACACGGGGTAAGAAATCCACCCAGAAAGACGTTTCCAAACTAAACATGTTTCTCTTTATAGACTCCCAACAGAGTATATAATACACATCAATTTCAATTTACAATCACCGCAGTTCCTCCTATACATGGCAGGACACTTAAACTGGATTCTGAATGTTCTCATACTCTATAATTTCACCAACTGCCAAAGCTTTCTTAGATGAAACCTAAAGAACTTTTTTATTTTGGGGAGATGGTTTTATTGTTGTTAGAGCCGGTCCAGCACAGGGAGATAACCTGGAAACCAAACAGCTCTGCCAGGGCCATGTACTTTTTCTTTCCATCATCATAGGTTTGTGGGGTTTCTTAGGGACAAAAAGATGGGAACACAAAGCTTACAGACATCAGGAGAACCATCTTATTATTTGCCTGCAAAGCCGTTCAGCGTTGTCTCATATCACAAATACCTGAGACTCGGAGGTCTTCTCTGCTTACATGAATCATACACTTTGGGTCTAAGACCAGGTCTGGAACCAGTGGAGCTCCCTGAGGATGGGAGGGAGAATATTACCTAGAAGTCTTACCGTTTATGGAAATTTCATCATGAAGATCCTTCAACTCAACATTTTAAGCATTGTAAGATGAGTTTTCACATGACTTCCTTCAAAGTCCACAGTCAACATCTTCAATCCTCATTTTTACCACTCAAGGATTAGTACTGGAGATTCTAGGTAGACCAGCATGCAGCTGAACTTAACTTCAGAAGGTCATATAAAGCAGAAAGACCATTACACCATCTATGCTTGCTTTGGAACCGCCAAGGTCTTGGCCTATCTCCATCCATTACTTTTGCAGATGTCAAAGAAAGGCCTTCAGGCTCGGCACGGACGGAACTGCCATTACCTCCACACACAAGGAGTTCGACTTCCGAAAGCAAGTTAGTCTTAAGTTAAATAATAATAATAAAAAGGACAGTGTGAAGTGTGAATTCTGTATATTCAACCCCGAGTCCTACACACAAAACACTCACAAGAAAGGAAGTCAACTTTTTTTGTCCAATTCATTCATATGGCACGTAGAAACACTTCTTTCACTTGTGGGTGTTTTCCATTATGTGACTATGTGTAGCTCAGTCTGATACTTCCCTGTTGGGGGCTATCTTGGTGCTATGGATCTTTAAGTACAATTCTTTGGGTAAATATACAAATTAATTTCTTTTAGGAATAGATGAGTGAAATTGTTGGTCATAGGGCAGATACATGTTTACCTTTAGTAGACACTGTCAAATGCTATTATCTTACACTCCCACTAGTTGTATACGCACTTGAGATTGTCTATTTTTGAAAAGCTTTTTTCCTATCTAATGGGTGTGTTATGTGATGTCACACAGGACAACATTTGTGCATTTACTTTTTGGCCAGGTAAGTTTGAAGAACCATGTTCTCTGAATCTTCATAACAATCCTCAGAGGTAAGTTTGCTTTCATTTTACAAATGGGAAAACTGAGGCTCAGCATAGTGGGGAGGGGAAAGACTGGGCTTGGGTGTACCTATAATCCTAGCACTCGGGAAGCTAAGGCATGAGGATCCTTGTGAGTTCAAGACCAGCCTGGGCTACTGTGAGCTCAAGGTCAACTTGAACTGCATATAGAGAGGCCCTGCCTCAAAAAGAAAACAAACAAACAAAAAAACCCATGGTGTGTGTGTGTGTGTGTGTGTGTGTGTGTATGTGTGTGCTCTTCTGTTATGTCAGAAAGGATTAGTGGCACATGTTTATTGCCAACTCTGTAAGGGGGACCCATAGATTACTCAGATTGTGTCTCAGCCTTTTTAAAGGTTCTATTGTTTTATTCCACACAGAAAATGAGAAAAAACCAATAAAACCTTCCCATTTTCCTCTGAAGGTATAACTCAATTATGTCTTCAAAGCTGTTACCCAAAGGCCTCCCAGATTTCTACTTGAGACTTAGAATCTATCACGTAAAATGGAATCTGTCATTGTCCCTCTATCTCCCATCCATTCAGTTTCCAATCTTTAGACTCAATCACATCTAAAAGATTTGTTTTTATTTCTGCCAAGTCCAGCCAAGTCATCACCAGATTCTCTGTGACTCTTCTGGCAATAATGAATCAACGTATCCTTTTGAAATTTTTATAGGTAATAACCATAAATATCAATTTCCTTTTTGACTTCCTCCTTTAGTGTTTTGTTCCTTTCAGCATACATATTTTGATTTATGCAGACTATTTCATTTTAAAACCTATTTTAAATAGTATTTTTTATAAAAATAGATGTAATGATAAGGTCTGGCATGCAAATAAATATACATGGAACCATTACTAGGATCATGTTTACTACTCTCAGATGTGCCTATATGTCCCCTAATATCCTTTCCCACCTCTCCTTGCCTTTCTATTCTAGGTACTTCATTTAAGAAATATATTTAGGACCTACAACATTTGGATGGCAATGGAATACCCATCTCTGACAAAACTAAACCAAAAAAAAAAAAGATATAAATGGACAAGTTTGTGTTTGTATATACAAAATAGTTAGGATAGATATATAACCATTTTCTCTTAATTAAATAAGAAGAAAGATTTGTACTAATAGTGTTTGAATAAGATATCATGTCTGCATCTTGTGCTATGAATGACTACTACAAAGACAACAATATGAAATGTATTAATTGTTGGAGCTCTCCTACCAACCTGTTTTGAAACTGTCTCATTGACATTTTTAAAAAAAATTTATTTGTGTGTGTGTGTGTGTGTGTGTGTGTGTGGCCAGCTCAGCCCACCAGGGGGCGGGGCTGGCTGGCATGTGGTGCTGGGGGATTGAACCGCAGTCCCTGTGCTTTGCTAAACTTGTTCTAAGTAGGTGCTTTAGACCACTGAGCCATCTCACCAGCCCCTCATTGACATTTTTTTCTCAATAAAATTAATAAAAAATAGTCAAATATACTCAAAGCTTTATAGTTAAAAGGATGCAACTATAGACTATATTCATAAGTGAAATAAATCAGACTATTGTGTAAACCTTGTCTTAGTAAATAAAACCCCTGAAGTACAGCAGATATTGTGAAAGAAAATGAAGCTGCACAAAAGGAAAAAAAAACTGGGATGAGGGAAGGAGAAAAGAAGGAAGGACTACATATCTAAGCCAATTGCACTACTAATTTCTGTTGGTTCGTTGAAAGCAGCAGTATGTGTTTATATTGTTGGATTACTCTTACATGATTACATCTGGTAATCTGCACAACTACTTTGGAGATAACACTATGCAATATATAACCATTGCTAATGTCCCATCATCTTGTCTTGAGATTTTATATCATTTTCGCTGTTTTTTCATTATCTTTAAAATAAAAAAGTGTAAACAAAACAAAACAAAAAAAGAAATATATTTAAGGCTTTGGATGTAACTCAGTGGTAAGGTGCTAAGCCAGAAGTCATCCAAATCATGTAGACATTAAAAAACTTCTAAACAGTTGACAGGTCAATGAGAAAAACCTCACAAAAACCGAGAGAATTAAGTGAAAATGAAAACAGAGCATATTGAATCAGCAGCAGCACAGGGGAAATTTATAGCAGTAAATATTTACAGTAAGAATGAAGAATTGTCCTCACTACTGGGGATATAAGTGGAGTGATAAACATCAGAAAATTAGACTCTCTAAGTTTTGGGATCCAGATGCTGAAATACAGCAATGTGGGAAACAGAAGGAGGGAAGGGGGTCCCTGCGACCCAGGAAGATCTGAAGAATTGAAGCCCATGTGGAAAGCAAAAAGAGAGATCTCATTGCAGAAGAAGGAGGTGGAAAGTGGTGCTTTTTCACTGAGCCCTGGCTGCGTGGGAGGGGCAGCTCAAACTTGCAGATGCACAATGACTACTGGTGACTCCAGAGTCCTTCACAGAAAAACACACTAGTGGAGTGGAGTGGTGGATGTCTTATGTAGGAGGATGCTCCTATATTGGGTGCATACATATATTTATTATTGTTACCTCTTCCTCTTGCAGTTTTCCCTTAACAAGTATGTAATGGCCTTCTTTATCTCTTTGGATTATTTTTGGTTTGAAGTTGATATTGTTATCAACCAGGATAGCTATTTCTGCTTTTTTTTTTTCTTTCTGATTTCTTGTGGCATCGAGGATTGTTTTCCATCCTTTTACTTTTAGTTTGTGAATTTCCTTTTGAGTTAAATGTGTTTCTTGTATGCAGCATATTGTTGGATTTTGTTTCTTAATCCGCTCTGCTAGTCTGTTTCTTTTGATTGGTGAATTGAGGCCATTTACATTGATGGTTATAACTGATACATATTGGTTTATCTTTTTCATGTTATTTTCCTTTTATAGGTTCTGCACTTTCTCTCTCTTTTTAATTACTTGGTCTGTTTGGTGGTTCCTTTCTGTTGTTCTTGAAGCTGTGATCACTTCTGTCTCCTTTTAGAATATCTGTCAATACACATTGTAAGGCTGCTGTGGTGGTCATGAATTTCTTCAATTGTTCTTTGTCATGGAAGGATCTTATTTTGCTATTGAATTTGATAGATTTTCAGGGTACATCAGTCTGGATTGGAAGTTATTTTCTTTTTGGACCTGAAATACTTCACTCCGCTCTTGATCTGATGGCTTGTGTTAAGAAATCTGCCATGATTCTGATGGGCTTTCCATTGTAGGTGATCTGTTTTTTTTTTCTCTCTAACAGCTTTTAATATTTTATTCTTTTGCTGAATTTCTGAGATCTTGATTATCATGTGTCTAGGTGTAGATTTATTGTGATTATGACTGTGTAGAGTTCTATGTACCTTGCTTCTCTGTATGTTAGTTTCTTTCCTCATACTTGGAAAATTTTCTGCTAGTACTTTTTTTTTTGCTATTTTTCTGCTAGTACTTCTGCACAGAGTCATTTTGGGTCATTCGTGCTGTCTCCCACTGCATCATGGATGCCTATTATTCTTATATTATTTTTCTTTGCATGGTCTTGTAGCTCTTGAATTGTTATTTCCTGGTTCCTTGTTAGTTTTAAGAGTTCTTTTAATTCACATTCATTAACTGCAACACTATGTCTGAGGCCTGAAAGTCTATCTTCAGTTTCATTCAAGCAGTTTGGCCAGCTTTCAGTGGAGTTCTTAATATCTTGAATGCCTGTTTGAATCTGTTTCATGCATTCTAATTCTTTCCTGTATTGTTCATTCAGTGTTTCCATCATTTTTCTATTGTCCTCTATTTTTCTATATATGTCTTCTTTGGCTGTGCTAGGCATTTCTTTCCTGATTGTTGTCCCTTCTCTTTGGACCTGAGAGATTATTTCTGATCTTATTTCTTCTATAGCCTGATAGACTTGCTTCTTTACTTCAGTTGCTGTCATTTCAGAAATTTCAGGTGTGTGATTTCCAAGTTTTCATATGCCTTTGTCTCCTGGATTTGTTCTGTGTGGGCTAGAAGATTGAGATTGTCTTTTGCTCCTGAATTTTGGCATTTTTGAAGCTCCCAGTGATCACCTAGATAAAGTCCTGCAGGGTGCCCAGAGTCTGCCAAAGTACATAAATGACTCCAGGAAAGCTCTGAGACTGTTCGTGCTGGGCCCACAGATCGTAGCTCTCCTGCATCTGCAGCCACTCAGACGCTTCCTAAGTTCTTAAAAGTTTGGACCAGCACCAGCAGAGGCTCTGCACCTGTGTGCTGGGGCCTAAGGAGGGTCAGAGCTTATGAGAATCCTGCAGGCTGCCCAGCGTCTACCAAAGTTCTTTGGTTGTTCTATTTTTGTTTTTATTTCTTCCATATCTCCCTTCTGGCTTCTTCACCAGTTTCTAGAATTCCTTGTA